AACAAGCTTCAGTAGCCGATTAGAGCATGCATATTCTGCCAACGCCCTGGACTTGTTGTGAGGTGGCACAGCTCATCTGACAGCTCGAGTCCAGAACGAGTCCATGTTGCATACGGTCTCCACCAAGTCAGGATATCTTTTCATCTGCGGGCCATGGAGGCCATGCGGACTTGTTTGGAAGCCAGATGGCGCTTGTGCTAAATTCCAGACCGCGAGCTAGCAGTACTTAGCACGACAGCAAGGCAAAGCTTATTCGGACGGTAAAACAACTGTCTCCACATAGGCAACCTCAGGTTTGGACCCGTTATCGATACCGCCAGGGACGGCATGTCTTCACGTGAAAGATACGAAGCAATATGGAAGAAGGCCATGAACAAAGCTAACGCGATGGAAAGAGGAAGGTGAAAGAACTCGACCTGATGCGGAATGCGATGTCAAGTTGTCATGTCAAGGTTTGTTCAATAGAAGGGAAGGTCGGAAAACGAGGAACAAAGGCCGGGCAGGCAGGGAGTTGACGTAGTGATTGGCTGATCCACGTCATCGCATACGCGGATACGGCGAAGATGCGACTCCCGGCCCGCAGTGGTCCCTGTGGTACTTTCAGCGGGGAGTAGCAACAAGAGGGTGTGAGGGACGTGTGGGAAGTTATGGGAACTGGAAGGCTGTGGGCCATTCGAATCCCTTTGATCCCCAGCTTTTGCTAGAAAGAAGACTGCAAGCGACCATGGGCTACCCGAAAAAGTCATATCACCCACCCTCAGCAAAAGTCGCGGGGATGGGGAGACATCACTTTTTCGATTGGTCCTTGGGCGAAGGAGGGAGAAGGAGGAGGGAAGGGGGGGAGTGGGTGGGGGACACGCAGCCGAGACTTGCTCAGCCTCCTCCCCTAATTTCCGCCCCATTATTCTTTCCTTGGGCCTTGGGCGCTTTTGACGTGCAGCAACCACTTGAGGGGGAGGGAAGATGGAACAAGGTCAATTGTAGAACTAAACTGCACAACCATCATCATCACTTTTGCACCACTTTGCAATCAATAAGAAGCGCCTATCGACAGAGATCTCTCCCCACCAAAAACCTTTCAAAGATCGTGCATTGCTGTGTGTTTATTGGCGCGTCCCAGGGTGGTTTGAGACTGACACGGCATCATCATCACTCTCGCACGCCCGGGTTTGGCGCTTCCCGCAGGGCCGACTTCCCCTTCTTTTCTCTCCCACACCAGTTCGTTCCACTCACACCCTGTCACTCTTCTCATCCTACACTCGCACGCCCCCAATCCCCCCTCTCTCAGCCCTCAACTCTCTCACCTCCGCCAAGGGTCAAACAACAACTTCCTCCTTCAACAACCAAGAGCGATCCTCACCTTCGCCACCCACCTTCGTTTCTTTCTACTACTCTCCGCAACACCACCATCGCAGTTCGAAGTCTTGCGCCATTGCACCACCCTCGACTTCGCAAGCCACAACGCCGAATTCGCTCTTTGGCCTGCCGCTGGTTTGGCTCCATCGCCTTGCTTGGGTGCTCGTCTGAGTGCCTCCTGAACCCTTTCCACGCCCCCGACCTCCTCTGGTCGCGCGCAATCCAACTCTCCTCCGCTTCACCACCATCATGCGTCGCTCGCTCATAATGTCGCCCTTTACGCTACTACTAGCGATCCTCTCCGCCTTCCTACCTTTCGCTTCCGCCCTCCGCTACATCGAGTCGAACTCGCTCAACCCGTGCATGACGAACTCAAGCTTCTCGGCCACCCTCTTCCACGTCATATTCACACCAGACAATGGCACGCTTTCGGTCAGCATCAACGGTGTTTCGCAAATCTCGGGATACGTCAAGGTCGAACTGCAGGTGCTGGGTTATGGCTACTCCATTTACCACGACACCATCGACCCATGCTCGGACAGCACGCTCAAGGGATTGTGCCCCATGAACACGGGCCAGCTCAACTTCCCCACCAACGCACAGATCCCTAAGGATACGGTCAACAAGGTCCCGAGTACGTTTTGCGTGCCTTCGTAGCTTTGGCCATCGCTAACCTACCCTAGATGCTATTTACTACATTCCCGATCTCGATGGCCGTGTTCGCGTTTGGATTAACAGCACGGAAGGAGTACCGCTGGCCTGCGTCGAGGCCGAGCTCGGCAATGGCAAAACGGTCTACCAAAAAGGTGTCGCATGGACTGTTGCCGTCATCGCCGGCTTGGGGCTCGTCATATCCGCCATCACATCTGGCCTCGGACACTCCAACACTGCTGCCCACGTCGCGTCGAATGCACTGTCGCTCTTCGGTTTCTTCCAGGCCCAGGCCTTCATTGGCATGACTGCCGTCACCACTCCCCCGATTGTCCGCATGTGGACTCAAAATTTCCAGTGGAGTATGGGTATCATTCGCGTTAGCTTCCTGCAGAGGATGGCGACATGGTATCAGCGCGCGACTGGAGGCACTCCCTCACGGCTCCTCTCCACACTCGCTACCACCTCGGTTCAGGTCCAAAAGCGTTCGCTCGACGTGGCCAACTTCCTTGCGAAACGCACCAACAGCCAGACCACCAACGCGGAGAATCTCAAGACCCTCTCCGTCAAGGGCATCAGGAGAGTGGGGTTTGTCGCCAGGATTGAGCCTACCAACATCTTCTTCACTGGCTACATTTTCTTCATCATCTTCGTTCTGCTGGTCGTGCTTGGCGTCGTTGCCTTCAAGTACATCTGTGAGGCTCTCACCAAGTCGGGCAAAATGAAGCAGGACAAGTTCCAGGACTTCCGGAATGGCTGGACGTTGGTGCTCAAGGGCATACTGTTCCGCATCGTCCTCATCGGTTTCCCCCAAATGGTCGTGCTCTGCTTCTGGGAAATGACGATTCACGACTCCGCCGCCGAAGTTGTGCTTGCCGTCTCCACCATTCTGGCTATGATCGCTATCCTGGGCTGGGCTGCGCTTAAGGTGTGGCGCATTGCGCGTCGCTCCATCGTGATGCACAAGAACCCGGCCTACATCCTCTACTCCGATCCGAAGGCGCTCAACAAGTGGGGTTTCCTCTACGTGCAGTTCAAGGCGACGATGTACTACTTCATCGTGCCCGTCCTGTTCTACCTCCTCATCAAGGGCATGTTCATCGCATTCGGCCAGGGCAGCGGCACCGCGCAGGCGGTCGCGCTCCTTATCATCGAGGCGGCCATGCTCATTGCCGTCAGCGTCATGCGCCCGTACATGGACAAGAAGACGAATGCCTTCAATATCGCCATTGCTGCGCTCAATTTTTTCAACGTCGTGCTCCTGCTCTTCTTCTCTGGCATCTTTGGGCTTCCTGTAAGTTACCCCGTGACGTCACCTTGGCCCACCCTGACTTTCTCTAGACCCTGGCCGTTGGTATTATGGGCGTGCTCTTCTTCGTCGTAAACGCCGTGTTTGCCCTGGTCATTTTGCTCATGGTCATGTGGGCGTCCGTCTGGGCCATCACGTCCAAGAACCCCGACACCCGCTACCAGCCGATGCGTGACGACCGCGGCAGCTTCATCAAGTCGCAGACCAACCTCGGCACCACCGAACTCGACGCCCTGGGCGCCACTGCGCGCGGCGACAAGGCCGGCGGAGCCGGCTTCACGGAGCGCAAGCGCATGGATTTGGATGACGAAGAGGACAGCTTCTCTTCGACCAGCCAGGTTGGCCAGCGCGGAACGGGTGGCTGGGTGCCGCCGCGCAGCCCCGTCGAGCCGCCGTCGGCTCCCATGCTGCGCAATGACGTTAATGGCGCTGCGAGTCCGATATTTCGCAGCCAGAGCCCGGCGCAGGCCGGCGGCGTGGCCGCACCGTATAGGCCTGGGAGTGGGCAAAACGGCGCGGCGGCGTTTAGGGCGCAGAATAATGCTAGTCCGTGGCAGCGGGGCGTCGGGTATTGATGCGGTTGTTCGTTATGTGGGTTAATGAGGAAAGCGCGCTTTCGGCACTTAAAAGGTCAGCATCAGACGGCGTGAGAGCTGTTGTGTTCAGTGTATAATTTCGTACATTGCTTACTTTGTTGGGGGTGGGGTTATTACTTTGATTTTGTTTTACTCGGGCGGGTTTGGGCGGGGCTGCTGGTGTTGCATGACATCCTCGTTGTTATCTTGGTTTCTTGCGTCTTTCCACGGTATGGGACCGTCGGGCTGGGAATGTTTGTCATTTGTATCCATTCGTCGCGGGTCCCGGGGACTGGCACATTGTCGGTTATGTTCTCCGGGCGCTGAATCCGAGTGGAGGTCCATGTTGCCAGGCGTTTTTTGCCAATTTCACACACGGTCTTTGAACATACTTGAAGTGGGGAAACTCGCATACATTTGCGGTTTTGTCAGAGGCGTTTTGGGAGCTAGGGTAGCAGGGTTGCCACTCTTTCATGTGTTTCCCTTGCTGAGGCTGGTGATGAGGCTGGAGAGATATTGTTTTGTACTGTACTCTTAGGGGTCAGAGCAGGGCCTGTGAAGGGGTAATGTGCGTTGCGTTGGATGGGCCTCGCCTCGCCTTGTCGTTGCCCGCTGGGGGGATGTTTCGTAGTGCAATAGAGCCGATAAGGCGGTTGGGATACTTCTGCTGAGATGTGTTCTTGACTGTGATGAGTGAGGGCTAACGTTGGTTGTGCAGGTCGTCTATTGTACCGGTTCTCGATGTGGGGGCAAGGCCTCTTTGGTGTGCATATGCGTGCGGGGGGGTCTGGTATTTGCTGGCGTGTGTCTTATGAATGGATATACTGTATCTCCTGCAACCGAGTGGCTTATGCGGGTCTGTGATTGTAGGCGAGCATGTGCATGGGATATGGCATATTCAGAGTCTTCTTCCGAAGACGTATATTTCAGCACCCAGTACGGATTATGAATCTAGATATATCCCAGAAAACTTGCATGGTGCAGCTACCAGAGCCCCGCAAAGCAAGATATCGACCTCAGCCTAGCAGCATAGTCCATATTTCCAAGCGTGGTTAAGCAGCAATGCGTAGGATTATGTATTTAGATTCCGCACAACCATTCATCAAATATCCGGTATGGTCTATCGGCTAGGATCACCCGCTTTCATTCATGAAGCAGCTGTGTACAGCACCGGGTAGGGCCGGGTTCGACTCCCGGTACCGGAACTTCTCTTTTGCACTTTGGTGTATATTTTTTTGCTCTGTTGTGCTGTCCGGCGCAATGGGATTGTGGGAGGTGGGCTTAAGATGGAATGGAGGGGGCGTGAGAAAGCGCTGGAGGACGTTGAGAGCGCGGGGTATGGCAATCTACCACAGCTGAATTTTGTCATCGTCATCCGTGGTGTGGGGGATCGGCTCGTTAAGCGGCTCTTAGGGTCGGCCATCTACCGTATGTCGTCCAACGTCTGGTGATGTCGTTAACCAGGTGAGGGGAGGCAGATGACGATTCGGTGATCTTAACTGGCAAGCTAAAGCTTTAGCTGGTTTGCACCATCCACACTAGCTAAGAGAATGAGTAGCGAATATCAAGATCGTTTGCCGTTAGACTAGGCTTGAGCATGATAGTCGCCACTGGGATTGATATGCCTTTTGCAGACGGCTTGACAACAGTTTGCTCCTCACACACGAAGCGCAGCAATTGTGAGCTAGAGACCAACGAAGAGTCAATCGTGCCAGGCGTGTCACTGCCCAAACTCATGAAATTTCAGCCCATATCTAAGCCTACTCCATTTATCTCACGATGACAGAGATCCATAGAAAAGACCTAGCCCGCAGCAAACGCTAAACCGACATCAGACACCCCCAGAAGGGTTCGCAACTACTACTTCTTCTTGCCATAGGTCTTCGGTTCGCCGATATTCTTGCCGCGCAGATGCACACGCAGCACCTTCTCCATATCGATGAGCACCTTCTCATTCGGCGGCGCAGAGCCACGCTCGAAATCCGCCACAATGGTGGGAGTCTGGTTGATCTTCGTCGCCAGATCGCGCTGCGTCATCGGCTGGCCCTTATCATTCTTGGCCTCTGAGCGCGCCTTCTTGATCGCGTCGCCCACTTGCACGCCGATCGTCTTCGGCTTCACGATGTCGTCGGCCCGGTCTACCTTCGTGAGGTGCTGGCCCTCGGTGCCGCCGCGCTGGGGAGATGTTAGAAGGGTGATTAAGAGAGGGTGGTGGGGATGAGCCCTGGAGTGTACGCACCGAGTTCGACCCGCCGAACTTCTTCTCCGTGTTAATGTCCGCGCCCTGCCGCCGCGCGGCGTTGAGCTGCGCCTCGCTGCGGATGACTTTCTCGCGGGAGGCTGCAGCGCCGCCGGCACGGGCCTTGCTCCCAATCTTGGTGACCGTGTCCCAGTCGTCCATGGTTGCGGGTTGAGGGGCTTGTGTGGGGATGTGGAAAGACGGTGTGGGTGGCGGGAGTGAGGGGAAGGGGAGCTGAGGACTTGGTGAGTGTGGGGGGTGGATGGGTGGACTGGTGTTGTTTGTTGAAGAGTTGTGCTGCTGGAACGGTGAGTGGGGGGAGCTTCGTGGGAATATATACCACGTACGGAGGGTCGGGGGCTGTGGCTGTGGAGGGGGATGCTGATGTGTGCACTTGGTGAGTCGACGGCCGGAGTTTGTGCTGAGCTCTCTGAGTGGCTGAGCGGGGGCGATGTACAAGTTTGGACACCCCGATTCTGGCGCCTTCTCCCAAAGTGGCGGTGGCGGCCTTGTCGCCTGGGGCTGAAGGGCTCTTTGGCTGCAAACGACTTCAAACAACTCAACAACCGGTGATGCGGGCACATCCTAAGCCCGTTGCCTGGCTTGTCAGCCTCGTTGCACAAAATCATCAAGGGTCTCAAAAGAGGTTTGTTGGTTCTCATTGTCAGGTTCATCTAAGAAATAGCATGTACACTGGACAACACCAGTAATGCATGAGTAACGCCCATATAGTGTATCCCAGCCTGCAATTTGAAGAATGAGGGTAACACCGCCGTATCCCCACTTATGGGGCTCATCCAATCCGCAATCAAGAATCTAGCCTCAGGGAACAAGCAGCCTTGCCACCCACTTGCCGGAACATCAAGCAACCAACAGCACTATTCGTCAATCCCCAACGCCTGTGTAGCCTTCAGGTACGTATCCCAGGGCGTCAAGGCGCCGAGCGCCCGCTTCATATGCGCATTACAGAGAGTCAATCCATAGACATAACTGGCGTTCACCCATCCAAAACTGTCGAATCAGCATACGTCAGAGCAAAACAAGACGAAGACGCTTACCCTTCACGCGGCACACCCTTGAAATCGGCTCCTTGGTTTCCATACTCAGCTTCAACCCTGTGCGGATCAATTTCTCGCGTGACGTTGTACTTCTCCACCACAACTCCGTTGAAATCGACAAAAGCCTTTGTGACCATGTAACACCACCGATAGGCGAGACGCTGTGCTTCCTCTTCGAAGCCGTACCGCTGGAGACCGACCCAGGCGAGCATCTGCTGTGGTGCCCATCCGTACGGGTAATCCCACTGCCGGTTAGGACGGTCGATACCAACGGGCCCACGAGACTCCTCGGTACCCGACACCAGTCCACCGAAGACTTCAAGCTGGGGAAGGGCCTCGCTGACGAGCACTGCGGCTTGACGAGGAGTCGCTACGCCGGCCCACATCGGCCAGAAGGTTGTGGCACTCTTGTACTTCGTCTGCTCCTGTTTTACCGTGTTGTAGTCGAAAAACATACCAGCATCCTCGTTCCAAAGGTACTTTTCCATTGCAATGCGCCGCTTGCGTGCTCGGCGATCCCAGGAGGCAGAAGTTTCGAAATGGCCATCTTTCATCTCCTTGGTACGCCATTCAGCAGGAATAACAAGCTTGTCCTTCCAGAAGGTGCGAATGCAGCGGCCGATATCGGTTTCATACTTGTACAACAAGGAGTTGAGGTCAACGGTCGCAAGATCAGCGCATACCTTCTCCAGACGGTAGGACGTGTCGTGACCGGATTCCCGAACGGCCCTATCATGCATGAAGTAGACATCCAGCTCGGGCTCGTCCACTCGGCGGTGATTGTACGCATCCACGAACTCGGTGAACGTCATGTTGTGTTTCTTGGCGTAAGGTTCTAGGACATGTACAAAGTGGGAAGCCTCCGTCTCAGGTGGCACGCCAATTCCGCCAGGACGGTATCTCGAGAGGCCGGTCACGGGGTCCAAACGCGGAGCCGACATCCAGACCGAGTAATACTCCTTGATTGCCGCCAAAATGGCCGTTTTGAAAAAATCCATGGCGTCGGGTTCATGCTTGATGCGTTCGTACGCGCGCAAAGCCATGTCGGTTAGAAAAGGAGGCTGCGATCGGCACAGGTAGTACGAGCGATTAGCATTGAGGATCTTGCCATAGTGCTTGATGCAGAAGCAAAAATTCTGCACCATCGATTTGACCAAATCGACCCGATCATTGACGAGCAATCCTAAAGACTCCATATAGCTGTCCCATCCGTAAAGCTCGTTGAAGCGGCCTCCAGGCACGACAAATGGCAGACCACGCAAATCTTTCGAACCGTCTGCTTTTGTGTACTCCTCCATAGCAACCGCAAGGAGACCGGGTGCCTCGTTCAGATCGCGCACGTAGTCGTCGTTGTCGCATGCATCGGCCAGCCAACGGACATCCAGGCGCATTTCCGGATGCTGCTGGGCAATTTTCGAGTAGTATTCATGCTGCTCCGGTGCTCCTTTAGGAATGTAGATGCGAGGACGCGGATCCGGTGTCCAGTCCTTTGGGTCCCGACCGACGAGTGCGATATTCGAGCCATCGATCCGACGAACCAGATTGGGCCAGAAGTGATCCTTGACCAGCCTCGAGAGACGGCTGACGGGATTCTCGTTCAGTCTAGCCTCGTCGAGAATGATGCTCTTGCGGCCAAAGTCTTTCGCGAGCGTGAGCTCCTGCAAGAGGTTCGACAGGAGGTATGTGCCCCGCACATCGAAGCGGTTATACCCTCCGGATGCAGCGGTTCCCAGGGACAGTACCTATTACAAAGGTCAGGAGCCAAGGCCTTGCCAAAATAGCAATTGGGCTCACTTTTGGACCCAGATCTTCAATTGTGATCTGCTCGTTCCTGTCCGTATCCTCGCGCTCCAGTAGCATCTTTAGCGTTTCATTGACCGGGATAAGGAACTTGCGGGGCTGGGAGCTGTGCTCATCTGGCAAGATCAATATCTGAAGTGCTGGGACGTCGGAAAAACATACCGTGGCTCGATCGCCTCGAGGCATTCTTGAGGGCTGTCAGCTGCTGGTTGCGCACAGCGGAGTCAATTATCTGTGAAGGTTAGCACGTACTGCGAGGACGCCTGCAGGGCTTGACACACCGAAGAATATGTCCGGACCCGGGCATTGCGTCCTTTGTGTGATTCCCCATAGTAAATATGGGCAGCAGACAGAGGATCGAGGTCAATTGTGGGCTGCCGATGGAGAGGCAACTGTGAACCCATCGTGGGGTTGTCACCGGAAGTTCCGTCAATGACGTCGGTGGTTGGCTAGGGTGCGCTAGCGATGGTTGGTTGCGGGGAGTGGAGGATGCTCGCAAAGTTCTTATACGCGTGTGCGAATTTGTGAAGACTGGGACTGTCACACAAAGGCTGTCGAAGGCGGGTGTAACGGAGAACAATGTCTATCGGAGTGCAGTGGGTGGGGAGCCGTGGTGGTATGTAGGTTAGATGCGTATTTTGGCGGTAAGGACAGCAGTGGAGAAGCGGTTGGTGGGGACTATCCTAGGAATCTGTGTGGCAATGATGCACCTAGCGCTTGGCAGCAGTGCGTGGGAGATCAGTGGGGTGGTTGTTAGATTGAATGGAGGACGGGGACGGAACGGGTTCGGTCTTAGGGTAGGGTCTAGCTACGTATGCGCGTGGTGAGATTCTTTTGCTCGAAGGTTCCGGAGAGAGAGGATACAGCTTTATGTGCAGAGGAGGGCGCAAGAGAAGACGGTAGGTATTTTAAGGGCGGCGGGTGGGCGGGTGAAGAGAAGAGTGGAGAGAGGGTGATGAAATGTACAGGTAAGAAGGGCATGACGATGGCGATAGGACCCAGTCCTTCCTAGCGTGAGCCAGGCAGCGGCAACTCGCTTTGCTGGAATGCACGATGTGTTGCACGGGAACAAAGAAGGTGCGCCTGCCGCTTGGTGGGGGAGTCGTGG